TCTCAGCTTCCACCATGTATTTAGCTCTCTGCTCATTCCAGAACAGAGCCCGCTGATGATCAGACTTGGTGTTTGTCTCTTAAGGTATTTTCAATGTTTGGCCCCAATGCAAAATATATATTTGGTTTATAAGTTACAAAAGGCTTCAGTGTATCTCTGGAGATTTCAGTATTAAGAATTAAGCTTTTGAAGGTATCATTTCTGACTAGGGAAAAAAAAGAATTTTATTCCCTCTTCCCTGAAAGAAATTACAGACTGCAACACAGATAAAGTCAAGGTCTTCATGTTTTCAAGCTCAGACTATCAGAAAAAGATGGGTCTTTCCCGGAGATGCATCTTTGCATCTTAAAGACATAAAATATACTTCATTCATTTTAAGTATTGTCATACTCTCCAAGTAATAGGCTTATCACATTCAAAAAATTCAGCATAGCAGTCCAACTGTTAACTCAGAAATATATCTTAAAAATACATCTTAGAAATACAACAGAAGCACCAGTTTTGAAAGCCATACTACCAGAAGGCTGAGTGGTGTGTCATACTGGTTACCATACCACATGCAAATCTTGTATATAGTACCAAATATTTGGCTAAGCCTCTGCTCCAATTCACTCCTTTCTAAAACTAATACAGACGCTAAAAAAGCAGCCTCACACACGTGTACTTCCCAGTTTCATATTTACCCTTGGCTACTGGACAAAGTGTAAAAAGGAGAGAGTAAAGGATGAACCTAGAATATCCACCCTGCTTCCTCTCTCTCCCCTCCCTCTCCTCCTCTTCCCCCACTTACCCTCCCACTCTGCTAGAATTTCACATATTTTACACTACAGCTCCAGAAAATTGTGCCTCCACCCCTGTGGAAAATCAAGGCGGGGTCCTTATCTTACCTTGTCCATCTCACTTCTGGTCAAGTGGGGAAAATGTACTGTCTCAGTGTGTGTGCAGTGTAGTCTTATAGTGCTGGAAGGATTACATCTCTATAGTATTCTGGTACTATTCTGGTTTGACACATTTACACATCACCTCCTTCTCTGCCCAGTACAGTTAACACCTAGTGGGTAAGAAATTTTCCTCTCCGTTTATCTTCTACACCAAGTTGGTGGTGTTGGTTCTGCTGTTACAGGACGTGTATGAACAACCATAATTCACAAACCCTATGCATTTATAGGCCCTTATACTGTACTACCCTATAGTACCAACACTATATACAGTAGTCCCAACTCCTCCCAACATTTATCTTAAAACTATCAATAGACAAGACTTTTTTGATACTATTTTTCTTCCACCCCGTATTGTGCGTACCAGAAACTGGTCACCCAGAAACACTAAAAAAATGCAGACACAGCGTATGTTCTCACAGCCAGTTACTCTGTTGTGGTATGTGCAAGAAAGACAAGAATCTTCATGACTGGTGACTTACAACAGCTGTCTTCTCCCTGATCCCATCTGTGTCCTCCTCAGGGAAATTACATATTTCAATAGGTTGTTTGGATTTGGCTTCGTTTAAATTCTTCTTCACTACAAATGAGACATTCATTGCTTTTGGAGAGCTAGTCTAACCACAGTCTTGTTTTTTCCTGCTTTTTTTCTTCATACTCATAGCTTGACACTTACTTGTGGTGGTGCATCCTTCCCTCCCCTCCCTCCACCTCACCCCTCAGGCCACACTATGATCTGACAAATGCTCGTTTGTCAATGCCTCAGCCTTGATGAAGCACCTGGACTAAGCTCCTCCTGAGCTTATTAGAAATCCTGTCTGTTCCCAGGAACTAGTGCTCCTGTTTTTAAAGAACAGCCTTGAAAACTCCTTGCTTGAATAATACAAGTGAAATAACATTTTCATTATCAAAGTTTCAAAGTCAGTTTCTGACCCAAATTGTGGCCAGGATGGAAAATTACTATGACTCCTATAAACAGTAGTCCAAAATGAGACCCTTTGAGCTTTCCTGGATCAAACTGGGCTGTCACCAGCAATCTCCCTCTGAGTGGTGCCTCTCAGAGACAGCCAGCTCTCACGTTCACCACACTTGAACGACCATCACCAAACAACAACAGATCCTGGGCTGATACCCCTACTGCTCGAGGCTCAACCCTTTGTTTAGAAGATGCAAAATCATCTGACATGAGTACTTCACTGAATCCTGGGGAATTTTTCACATAAGTACTTCTCTAGGTCTGTGCACCTAGAGTGTGAATATTCTATAGCAAATGTACTACTAATGTTGCTCTCCCGGATTCTTAAGTACTTCAGATTTGTAATTTAGGCCTGTAAGTGAGATACTATTGTGCTATAGTAAATTTTACACAAATCTTTTGTTAAATTGTTTAAGTTAAGTTATCAATTAAGTGCTGTTAAGTGCTGTTAAACCTTTACGCCTAAACTGTTTGTCAAGTCTGGGGCCCAGTTTAGCAAAGAGGTCTACTCTGAACCTTGTAAATCAATGGGATGGTTTTCCTTATTCATTTTTATCCCTACCCTTTTCTTGCCCTATCCCCCACCCCCACAGCCTCCACATATAAAATTTTTGGGTTGATTTTGGCTTTAGATTGATTTATTTTAGGTTTTAGCCTGATTTTTCTCTGTCTGCTTTAGCCATCTAGCAAATAGTAGTGTGCATCTTGCCAACAAACTTTGGCACACTTTCCCTTTTATATTAAACCTGTTTTTGCTAATATATTGGCCAGTGATTCTTTAAGCGACCTTAAAACACTCATTCACGACATTACTTCTGTCTAACTGCACCAAAAATGGAAGCCACGGAGTGGAGAGGGAGAAATAAAGTTTTATTAAGTGAAAAATGATACAAAAACCTCAATATAAATCACAGACATGACCCATTACCTCAAATCAACTACCATGTAAATTCACTTCTACATTGACATATACATGATCAGGCAAATCATCACAACTATAGTCTATAAAAGTAGCATTAGCAGTTAATTCCTTTTCTCTATGGACTGGTAAACAGAAAGCAGGCATTTCCAAGCCCTGATTAATGTCAGTAATTCAGGATATTAAAGCAATAAGAACAACATCTGGTGTTAGTAGGAGTATGCACCTCCTTAATTTCCCTTGTCTCCCTTTACCACTGCATGGGCAGTGAGGATCAGCTATAGAGATTAAATGACTGTGTCACGATACCTTTCTGTGCAAAAATGCTTTCCCTATTACAGATGTTGAGTAGTGCAATATACCTCTGCTGTGCTGGCATTCAAACAACTTTGGAGTTAATGGCATTTAGCTTTCATCTTCCCTTATGTATATTCCTCCATTACTGTGTAAAACCTCAGTATAAATTCTGTATGGTGTCACAGGCTTCAGGATAAAGGTTCATGAGGTGTAGCAGGTATATGCAGTCACATCATCTCTCCAAGCTGAGGTGAAAGAGAAATTCAAGCTCAGTTTCTAGTAGCTGATTCTCATAGAGGGTAGACTCAGTCCAGCACTTTTAACAAACCATGTGCACTACGCATTACTCTGCTCTCCATTGCTGGCAAAATCCTGGCAAAAATACTCTTGAACAGACTAATACCCGCTATAGCAGAGGGAATTCTACCTGAAAGTCAGTGTGGTTTCAGAGCCAACAGGAGTACCACAGACATGGTGTTTGTTCTCAGACAACTGCAAGAGAATTGTAGGGAACAGAACAAAGGTCTCTATGTAACCTCTGGCAACCTCACCAAGGCTTTTGACACTGTGAGCAGAAAAGGTCTATGGTAGATTTTGGAACGTTTAGGTTGTCCCCCCAAGTTCCTTAAAATGATCATCTCACTCCATGAGGATCAGCACGGCCAAGTCAGATATGGCAACACACTTTCTGAGCCCTCTCTAATAACTAATGGCGTGAAACAAGGTTGTGTTCTCACACCAACCCTATTCACAGTCTTTTTCAGCATGATGCTCCAATGGGCCACAGCAGACCTCAATGATCAGGACAGTATCTACATTTGATACCGTACTGATGGAAGCCTTTTCAACCTAAGGCGACTGAAGGCCCACACCAAGACCTCAAACCCTCTTGTCCAGGAGCTGCTTTATGCTGATGACACCGCCCTTGTTGCACACACAGAAGCAGCTCTGCAGCGTTTAACATCCTGCTTTGCAGACGCTGCTGAGCTCTTTGGGCTGGAAGTCAGCTTAAAGAAGACAGAAGTTCTCCATCAACCAGCACTTCAGGAAGTCTTCCATCATCCCCACATCACCATTGGCCAATCAGAACTCAAATCAGTCCAGCAGTTCAATTACCTAGGTAGCCTCATCTCCTCAGACGGTAAGATTGACAGAGAGATAGACAACAGGTTAGCAAAGGCATATAGTGCCTTCGGAAAGCTTCATAAAAGAGTTTGGCGAAATAAACACCTGAAGAAAAGTACAAAGATCTGTGTTTACAGAGCCATAGTGCTGTCTACTCTCTTATATGGATCTGAATCATGGGTCATCTACCGCCACCACCTGCGACTCCTAGAACGCTTCCATCAACGCTGTCTCCGCACAATCCTAAACATCCACTGGTCAGATTATGTGACCAATACATCTGTTCTAGAACAAGCAGCAGTCACAAGTATTGAGGCCATGTTGCTGAGAACACAGCTGCGATGGGCAGGGCACGTCTCAAGGATGAAGCACCACCGCCTCCCTAAGATCTTGCTTTATGGTGAACTTGCCACCTGCTGCCGCAAGAGAGGAGCCCTGAAGAGAAGATACAAGGACTCCCTGAAACAACATCTCAGCCTTGGCCATATTGATCAACATAACTGGTCTACTTTGGCCTCGAATCGGGAGGTCTGGAGACACACCATCTATAACGCTGCTGATGCTTTTGAGAAAGCACACAGGATCACGCTTGAGGAGAAAAGACAGCACAGAAAGAATCGTGCCTTGCAGAATATGTCATCTAACGAGTCTCTCTGCTGTGCCTTTTGCAACCGGACATGCCTATCTCATATTGGCCTTTTTAGCCACCAACACGCTTGCAACAAACGTGGGTAGAGCCCTTCCCAAATCTTCGTTCGTGAAGCCCAGCCATGATGATGATGCACTACACATATTCACATACATAACACATTAGACCTTTAATTATATCTCATCCCCCTCCTCTCTCTGCCAAAATGAGTGTTTACATTATTCTCAGTGAAACAGGATGTAAAGTCTTTACCATTTCTCCAAATCATTCCCACTTGTCTATACCATGTACAACTCAGTAGTAAATATTGTCCAAATCTGCCCTACTATTTCTAATCTCCCTTTTCTCTGTTTTTATTTGTTTTTTCTACTTGACATTGCCCAAAGCCTGCATGCCAAACTCCGTAGGGCAGGAGCTGTTTCGGTCTATTTCCAATTAGGATCCTTAGAAAATATCAAAATACAAAATAAAGAGCATCTAAATAAAAACAAGAGATTGCAAATACTAATATATTTATTGAAGGGCCTCAAGAAGTATGTAAGTAAAACTATTATCATTCTACATTACTGAAAAATGCGAAATAAGAATGTTTTTCATTGTGCTTCGTGCCATGTGGTAAGTCCTAAGCAGAATGAAACTTCTGCTCCCTGTGCAGGTTGCTGAGGAAACTCTCTAGGACAGTAGCATTGGGATTAACATCATCCTATTCACTGTAAAAACTTCTACATTCTTCTACATTCTTCTCAAATGTCAGAGCTGGCCTCTTATGAACACTATTTTCCAAAATATTATTTCGTTTTATTAGTTAGCAAAATTTCCCGTTTTCTGCAACATTTTTTTTCTCCATAATTGTTATAATACTGCATTAAAGTCACAGTCCTCAGTCCACAGTTGAGCAGCTTTTGAGCCTATGTCAAGATTATTATAGTGCCTTTTGGTATTTATCTTGGTAGGTTTTGCTGGCATCAGGTACCGAAGGTTCTTCCAAAATCTGGAATTCACAGGAAGAGATTTATTCTTTTTCCACTTCACAACCCTCTTTGATGGTAAAAGAGACAGTGATTCTGGCAAGAAACTGTAGTCACTTATAGGCATATATTCAATTAATATGATTTTAGTTTTTCTTTCAACTAGGGCTTTATGCAGTCCACTCTCAAGTTCGTATATGGCTCTGTCAGAAACATAGTTCTGGCTCAGTATAATGATTAATCTTCGGCTTTTATCAATGAATGAATGGATATCATCAACAACTGCTGCAAATTAAAGATAAATATGTTGTTAATTTAAATTGAAAGAATAGACACTGAATCGACAATTTTTTAACATTCACATATGTACAAAAAAATGTTCCTTTTATAATGTGATAGCATGTAAGCATCCTGTTCTTACGAAGTGATTAATATATATTACAGATTAAGAGTCTGTGAAAATGAACTCAAGTATGGCCAAAACTTTTTCTTTAGACCAGACGAAAACCTATTTATAATCGCCATCTACTCTAGACAGCTGTTTGGCAGGAGTAACATGGACAGAAGGTGACAGCAAAATTTAACTTTCTCCCATCCAGACATCTCTGCTCTTTCATCATAGGTATCACCGGAGTGATTTCACAGAAAGCCACCAACAGCAACCTCTCTCCAAATATCCAGTACTCTTCAGGTTACACCTTTCTTTATGACACCAAACACCCAAATCTATTGCCAGTAATCCAAGGCTGATAAGACTAGCACGTAATGGCAGAATGAATTCCAACTGTGTTTTATATTGACGACTTTTGGCATGAAAAGTGATGAATGAAAGCAAGTGGTGATACCCTTTAAACACCAGATGCAATTTTCACGCACAGTTTCCAGTGCTTGTTTCAACACCACGGAACAAAGTCTACAAGGACCAGAGATCTAGAAAACATGCCTTGTAGGGAAAGGCAAAGCAAACTGCAGAAGTACCCTGAAGAAGAGAAAACTGCGGGGAAAAGGAGACTGACAAGGGTATTGAAACACCAAAAGCTCCTGTAAATAGAAGGAAATGTTATATTTTCCATGTTAACAATGGATCAGACCAGAGAAAAGGAAATAAGTTAAAACTACCGAAGGAATCAGAATGCACACTTCAGTAAACCTTTTTTTAACACTTAAAAAGAAATAATAAGTAAAAACAAAACAAAACAAAAAAAAGGCTTGGGAGAGCTGTGGCACTTCTCAGGTTAGAAAAATATGTCAGGAATGGATACAAGGAGACAAGATCCTGCCTAGTGAAGGAGGCTGACTGAACTTATTGTTCCATGGTTTTAATAATGAAATCCTAATCCTCAACTAGATCTTTGGACTAAATAGAAACTCCTAGTATCTTTTTTCCAAGCATCTACAAAAGGCCAATGTCAGATCTACCCACAGGGCATGTAGAGAAACAAAACTCCATGTTCTCATTTCTATTTTGTTATGGCACCCATTACATTCAGAAAATGGTTTCAACCACCACACTGAAGATAGAGCAAACATACAAGTTACCTAAGAGTAACTAGTACCAGAGATACCAGCTGCTCTGTGCAGTAATGTGAGTACATTCATTGGCCCTCAGCAAAAGCAGTGCAAAAGCACTATCATTGTGAAATACCTGACATCATCTGTGTTCTCAACTTCTTCCATGCTATCTTTTTCATCTTTTCATCTTGGCTCTTTGCAATTAAAGATATATGTGTCTGTGTCTCTCTGTGTGTAAGTGTATATGAATTCATAAATATATCTATAAAATATGTAAAATGTGTGCAAGCAAACTTTGCATGCCCACAGTCTAAATTAAATGGAAAATGTATCCTATCAATGCATAACACATTTGACACAATTCCTTCTAATTACAGACTTCTACCCTTGTGTCAAAATGATGAGCCTATTTAATGACAAGAATATGCAATACACTTACCTCCTCCAGGGAATACATCCCTCTCAAATATACATAACTTGTACCCAAAGTTTTCTTCTAATATCATGGGTAATATCTTCAAGGCAAATTCTCTCTCCTCTTCAATTGGAGAAACACAGTCTTTCAGGTAAGACACAAATGCATCATATTCTTTTCCATCTGAAAACAAATCAACAATTGTTGTCTTGTTAGCAACCATCAGAAATCCAGTGTCTGATCCATCATTCTGGTTTTCAGAATTATTGTCTCAGTAGCAAAGCATCTAGAAACTCCTGCTCTTTCTTTTGATACCCCGAACAGTCTTCAAACACTCTACATCAGATTTAAAAGAAGTCCTGAATCAATTTAAATTTCATACAAAAGATTCTGATTGCATTTGGCAAATACTTGAAAATAACATTTCCTTTCCACAGCAGTGTTTTGAAATAAAATTCAATTAATTTAACCAGTTAAAGCCATATCTGTGATGATGAAGAAATGAAGGGAAGCAAAAAATGTATATGTAACCTGATAAAATTGTTATTTAAGAGATATTGCGGATTTCCACATTTATTTTACTTTTTGTCTGAGAATATCAAATAATTCTGTAGAATGGGTACTAGCAAAATAAAATCAGTTACTCTTATAACTAAAAGTCATAACTAAAAGTTACAGGAGTATACTATGTCTGGTCATGCTTTGGGCACTAATTTACAAACACAAAATCAAAGACCAATTCAGAGGGCAAGTCTACCACACTGAGCAATCACGAACCTTTCCGCAGAACAACTATCTGGATCGATACAGTGGCACACATGGCTTTGCATCTTAAATTGTATTTCTTTGCTTCCCTTTCTGAATGCCTTACTGCATGCAGTTCATAAGAGAGAGCACAAAGTAAAGCCAGTGAAACCCTACAACTGCAAGAGCTCTAGGAATAGGAAATCCATTGCCTATTATCCAATAGGCAGCTCCTCCAGAGTAGCCTAGTCCAGGTTCTCAAAGATCCTCCTTGTAAGCCAGAGGACGCAGTGACAGCTAACATCAACAAACAGATAAATAACACCAGTAGGCATAAATGATATCCACCCATTACTGACAAATCTCAAGCATTAGAGACCAAGGAAGATTAGGAAAATCAGGTCCATACATACAGCAAGTTTTTTCACCACAATTTTCAGAAAAATTATTCCCAAAATTGGGTAACTGTCAGGCTTGCTTGCTGTGAAGACCACAGTGATGCTGCCTGGTAAGATCCTGCTCTCCTTTAAGTGCATGTAATGACAAACCCATAAACATTGCAATGGCCTCTGCAAGTCAAGGAAGCATTTTAACCTTCACCTCACTGAAGGGCATCAGTGAGGAGAAAACAATTTTCTGTCAGTCTGCCTGGTCGACAACTCCAGAGTGTTCATCCTCTTCACAGATAGATAACTGCAAACTTCTCCACCTTTATATACTTTTGCAATGAAGAATATGGCAGAACAGAGCTCATCTGAACAGCATCTAACCATGTCCCTTCCACTACCTGCTCCAGAGGCAGCTTTTTCACTGTTTATCTGCTGTTATTGCCACAGCTGTATAACAAACACACTTTAGCATCTGACCATCAAGTTCTCTTTTACATATTCTTTGCTGTTTCTACTCACAAAACTCCTGGATTTAAGATTAATTTTTTGTCTTCCTCAAAGATGATTGTTTTATAAAGCCTACCAAAAACTATTTTTTAATCAATACACTTATTTCAATGTCAACATTAACAAGGTCATACCTTCAGCAGTGTCATCTCTTCTGCATATATTCCTGTAAAATAGAACTAAGTCAACCCTAAACATCACACAAACAAACAGTGCAGCTATAGCAACAAATGGAAATAGTACAGCGAGGACCATTCCAGTTGTAAATACATGCACAGGCAGATCTTGGGTGTTCCCTGTAAAACAGAAACCCATGAAATTACAGCCTTATCAAAGAGTATTATATGACAAAATTACTGTATCCAATACTGACGGCACCTTAAAATCACCTCAAAAAATTACAGTGTTGATGAAAATCCTTTCCTGCTAATAATTCAAGCACATACACATGCCACTTGTCCTGAAACGGAGAACTACAGAAATACTCTAAAAACTGGAGAAACAGTCTTGCACGCGTTCACACACATAAATGAAGTGTATGTGAGATCAAGACTGACACTACAAATCCTCATAGATGTACAGTATACCAAACTGCTGGTCACTCACTTTTGTGATGAGTTTTCTCCAGGTTCTTTATTATGTCCTGTTATTATCTCCCTTTCACCCCCTCTCAGTCCATGCATAATAGTCCTTTATGCCCCCTTTAATCTCTTTGGCCGATTTTTTTTTCTTGTCTCTAATCTCTTTCAGGCTTTTCTTTTTCTTAATTATTTTTATTATGTTATCTTTGGTGTTTTTTTAGTTTCAAACATAGAATTTTAACACTTAACTTTGTGAAGTTTTGATGAAGGCACTGTTAAGTCATGCTCATTGTAGTCTGTACTACTTCTGCTTTATTATATGCATCATCTTTTGACAAGTCTATTTTCACATATTTTCCTTCCAGTAAAACTTGGAAAGGCCTGATAGAGTTAGAAAACAAGAAGAGAATGCCCATTTGTGATGAATCTCCAGGTCATCTGGACTATAAATGTGAAGTCCTGCTATATGGTAGAGGTTAGCTTTCCATAGCTAGAAGTATAGAATTCCTGACAAGACAGAAACCATTGACCAGAATGTTTCAGGCATTATCAGCAACATAAAAGACTGACTTTTCTGAGGGCGGGAGGGTCGGGGGCAGGGGGGAAGGGGGAACACCAAAAAACCCAACAAAAACCAACACACACAAAAACCCAACAAAACCCTCAGATTTTAATTTTAAGAAGGGATGCTTAATAAACAAAGTGTTCCAAACAGAAGACTGAGGGCTGCACCAAGTTTGGGTATTTAATTCCTGTGATCTCACCAATCTGATGAGTAGGAAAGTACAGGGGAATGCTTTGTCATGGGATCTTAACAACATGCTGCCCAGGGATCTGTCCCCAGCTGTGTCCACAGCAGCAGCAGTTAGACTATGGAGCCCAGACACAGCTGCTCTAGCAACTCCTTCTGCCCGTTTCAGAGCAGGAGGAATCACCCAGGGTGTTAGGTCCAGTACTAGATGGACCAGGGACTTCATAAGCAGACAGACATATTTGAAGAGATGTTCTGAAATGAGTACCCTGTCCTCAGGACTGAGAAGGCTGCCATGATTAATAATTAAGTATGAGAAGAATGATCATGCCATACCTTTCTTCAGTTTTACTATTTTTATTTGTGTGCTTTCATCAGCTTGCAACATGCAGGTGAAATTATGATGCATGTCCTCATCTGTTACTTTTTTAATCCGTAGTAGCCTTGTGACATAAAACTTGTTTCCCAACCTGCAAGGAGGAATGGTGTTAGCAACACTACCTGTACAGAAATCTACAACCACCAGAGAGGCAGATTTAGACGAAAGGGTTCTAAAAAAACCCCTCAGGCTGCAATTTTACTGAATTTGCAGTTGTACAAAGTGCAGGACATTATCCTATATAAAGTACAGCATTTTCAGGAAACCTACTGTAATTTTTTGAACTCTTCTTCACATATTGAAGGTTCATTCTCAGGGATACCTGTGCATTGTTCTGGAAACGTTTGATTAATTAACCAGTAGAGGCTGGCATCTTCTTGCATATAATAACCCAAGAAACCTGTGCAATTGAGTATCTCTTCTTTACCTAAAAAAAAGTATAATGTGAGAAGATCTAGTAAGAAGTAGTATTCATGTTCACAGTGCAGTAAAATGTCAGCTTTCCAGCCAAAATATCCCATGAGCTGTGCTCTCTTCTGGATTTCATAGCCCCTGCTCAATGTTTTATAAGTGTTCTGCTGCACCCTGTTGCAGAGTGACAGTCATCCAATTCCTTTCTCTCAGATAAACTATCACAGCCAGTCGAGTTTAAATATGCCAGAGTATTTCAGGCTTTAGAGAACTAATGGGAGTTGGACTTGATGATCCTTGTGGGCCCCTCTCAACTCAAGATATTCTAAGATTCTATGAACTAGACTGTGTTTTGCAAGCAGAGAACAGGAGAGGACAACATATCACTAGTGCTCCAGGGCCAGGTAAAAGTAAGTAACTGGTAAGGGGAATTACAACCAATTGATTGTCATAAATAAACTACATATGACTACTCAATAAAGCCAAAGTCCTTGCTGAACTCTCACAGAACAAGTTCCCGTACCACACCTGGAATTCCTGAATATGTGAACAAGTCATTTACTCAGTCAGTTACTTGCCCCATTTAAAAGCACTAACTGGAAGTGAGAGCAACCATTCCATAAAGTTCAGTTATTTTTAAGAAAGTTCAAAACCAAAAGGACAACTGTACACTTGGAAAAATAAAGGCAGAAGACTGCAGCTCTGGAGTGTGAGATTTTTTAAACACTGTCGTGGGAAGCTTGACCTGAAGTTAGCTGCAACTTTGCACCACTATTTCTAGGTTATGCCAGAATCATTTCCAGAGAACACATCCAGAATGTCCTTTATTAAGCCATAAAAAGTGCATGTTAGTCCTTGTTCAGGCCATATACACAAATGCTTTCCAGGAAGAGAGGCCTGCCCAGCAATTCTCCAAGGGCACTTATAAGCTGACCTCTCAAGACTTATCAAAGTGGATAGTTACAGAATCTTCAAAGCAGGATCCAGATGAAAATCTGGCCATCTTAGATTCAGACCTTAGAAATCCAAATCACATTTGCACAGACTGAAACACAGACCTAACCTTCTAGTATCCTCTACCTTGCAACTCCAGCTTTTCCAGTTATTTTTGGGGAGATTATAGAACACCATCTAGACAATGACAGGTTTTTAACATCATGGACCTAGCTCATTGAAAATGCCCTCCACTCTCCACCATGCCATCTGTCTCATGACTCAGTAGGTAGTTCAATGACCTTATGAAATGATCTTATCAAGGCAGATAAGGAATGGTAGTTCATAATCAATTGATGCTGAACCCTGCTAACTTCTAAGGGTTGGGACAAGCACAGTAATGAGGAAGAAACGTGCCGGAAGCGTGTACTGGGGAGGTTGGAAGTCATTAGGCATCATAGGATTGGGGTACTACCATTGGAAAAAGGACCTATCAAGCAACATTTGTAAGAAGGAAGGAAAATTAGCATCTGAGGTCCTAGATGAGCAAATGAGATACAGGTATGAGCCACAGAGGAGGTAACACATGGAAAGGAAGCATTAGGTAACCAGATGGGAGAAGCCCTCAGGCACAGGAGAGGAAAAAGACAGGTAAACTTCTGTTTTCTAAAATTAATTACAGCCTCAAACACAAAATCCTGTATCCTGTCCAAGACTGTGTGAAGCCTGCAGATCATGTTATCTAACCTACTCCCAGCTAGAAGAACAGGTAAGGTCTCTTGACAAATTCTTTGAAGCAGTGACAGATCTTCATGCCCGCATTACCAGGACTGTCACTTCCTCACACTTCTCATTTCCCTGAAGAATAACATCCTCAACTGCGTCAGGTAGCAAGGAGATTTCTCATTATTGCTGTTCACTGAAAAAACTATACACCTTTTCCACATTGCTTCAAAGGGTTTGCTGTCTACAAAAGAAAGCCACGGAGAGATGGTTTATCACCACCACCACTTTCTCTTGCTGGTCACAGCAGCAACCTCAGCTTCTGCCTCTGTAGAAGGTACATTCAGTGTACTGGTATATCAACCGTGGAATACACTAGGCAAAACATAACCAGGTGTGAAGTTAGATGAGATACAAGAGGGTGCACAGACAATTCCTAGTTGATTACACTTAACCAGACCATCAACCATAAAGAGATCAGAACAAAAGCATATACGTGCAGTAGCTACCACAAAGATTTTTGTACTAATTTCATACCTATTTCTGTTTCAATTTCTTCATGGTGTCCAATTATCTCCAAAGTTACAGCCTCTGGTGCATCTAAAATAGAAACATTGCTATTGAAGTAATAGCTCACATACATTGTTCCATAGTACAAATTACATACTTCCTCTATTTCTAAAACTAATAGCATACATTCCATTTAATTCAAAGAACAATATCTGGACTCTGGTGTTACTAAGTAGTTTAAAACACAGTATGACTTGTTGAATTTTTTTACATACATATACGTACAGTGCACAATTTAAAATGGTTGGAAAGGCTCTTCTGCAAAACTCTTAGTAAGTTTGTATGACTTACAGCAGCTATTTTGAAAAAAAAAAAACTGCAGGAAAAACATACCAAATACATCTTCCAAAATAGGTAATATGCCATCTTAACTTCTGCTTTTTTACTTTTCAAATTATTGTGAAATAGTTCAGACTACCAGATTTGTTCCCCCTTGTATATATTTATCAAATGAGAACTGCAATTAAAAATCTTCATTGTAAAGTGAACCAGAAAGCATGCTTCCAAATTTTAGAAAGCTTTCTTACCTTCTTCTACTATCAGTTTAATTGTGTTTGTGCTGTGGTATATCTTTCCTTCATGACTGATTATAATTTTACACGTATATATCCCAGAGTGCTGTGCTGTTAAGGTTCTAAAATGCAGTTCCCTCTCTGTTTCATGTTCATAATTCTTACAGTCCTGCATCAATAAAACCAGAAAACACTATTCTGTAGCACATATGCATTCAAAACCTTAAAGAAATTAAAAATTGTTTTTGAAAGTGTCACCATCATTCTTTTCACTATCCCAATGACATGTGTCTGACCCAAAAGAGGTGGAGGCCAAATTTTCACTCATGGTCACTTAAATGAAACTTTTGACCACTTAACCCATTAGAAGCTGAGAGCACTGCAATTTCAAGTAAGTATCTGAGTATAAAAATACTGTATTGGGAACTCAAAAGCACTCTTTTTTTTTTTTTTTCAAAATGATGGCTTGGGTCTGTAGGTGTCATCTGCTTGTGGCTCAAAGCTGTCTAGGTTATGAGGAGGTTTCAGGTTAAAACAAAACACCTCAACAACAGGGAAAGTAACCATCTCAGAGGGTAACAAGAATTGGACTCACATGTGTTTACTCTCCCTATTCCTGAAAAAAACTCTAGTTTGTGGGTGTTTTTTAATTCACAGCACATGCTAAGTGAAACGTCCTGTTAAAAGGCAGCAATATCTGGTTCTGGTCTGAATTACCTTAGATCAAAAGGGAAATGAGCGCTGATAGAAATTGTCCAAGGAATGGGTTTTTCTGGATGCACGTTTACTACCAGGCTCTTGCTCAAAAGGCATGTGTGACCACCCTGGTTTTATCTCACCTTAGGGAGCAATAGGAAGACTTTGAAAATTTTGACCCAATCAAGTGCTAAAGGATATTTAGGTGCAAGGATGGCTGCTTCACCTGTCTCACACAGTAGCACTGGTATGCTCAGTTTAGCCATGAGAGAGGCCAGTCTGGGGTATGGTCCTTTATTGAGGAAAGCATTACAACCTGCGGCCCTATCCATCAATGGTCCCATCCTCCCAGGCCCCAAAGAACAAGAAAATAGCTTGTTATTATAGGGCCATAGCTCTTTCTTGCCAGGCTACTCCAGATGCCCATCCTTAAGCAGTCAAAATCCCTTCCTGAAACTGATTCAACGTGCAGCGAACAGGGTCTGTTACTCCAACCAGGAGACCTGAGAGGAATAAGGAGCAATGCTCAAGGTGACACAACAGGGTGGAAGAAGCCTGTTCAGGGTGCCTCATCCAGTGGTTGAGCACAACACCCAACAGTTACAGATGCTTACACTATTATCAGCTATGCTCTGGTAAAAGTTGGTAGAGAGAATGCAGATGATTCGCCTAAAATGAACAGAACTGGATCTGTCACAACTTATAAAAAGTGTTCAGAAGCAGCAAAAGTAAAAAGTTTGCAGTTACTCTACAAGCACATGCCACCTGTAAAACTAATATCTTGATACCTCATTAAGCATCAGTATATCTGTATCAGCAAAGTAGCAGCTGGCTAAACCAGCTGTGTCTAAATCAGCAAACAGACATACACATCAGATCTTTTACCATTACAAACTACCAGTTTAATAACTTCTGAAAAAAGTACACTTTTCTAATAAATCTGAGAGCAGAGAAAAACTTCATTTCGTATATCTGTCTGAAGTTTTTTTCCCTAATCACCCAAGAAATTAAAGCCTTACAGTGTTTGTAGATGCTTCTAAAAATTTGCTTGCAATTAATTTTTTTCTGCAATCAGATATTTTGTTTCTATAGCCAATTATTTGAGTGAAACTGTTTCAGTAATTACCTTGTACCATGTTACGCTGTCATTTTCATTGACAGACAAATCACTGCATTTCAGTGAATGACCAGTTCCAGCATTTTTTATTTCCGTAGTTAAATGATTCTTGTTGAAACAGCTGCTTTCATTTCTTTCAAGTATATTCAAGGTCCACTTTTGAATTATAAAATTTTGTTTTCCATTGCTATGAAAAAAAAATTAGCAAAATCAGTTTTAGGAGCTTTTTAAAAGAATGCAGTCTAGTGAGTTACACACAAAATACAAAATAAATTCTCTAATACACCTGTTAGGTAAAAAGTACATCTACAGCGACCTAATTATTTATATTCACCTTTATTACTTTTCCACCCCCAAGTAAGTGTTACTTCCTTTAACAAACAGGTTACCTAAACTAAATCAACTAGCACAAAACATTTGACAATATAATTATATCTATGGAATATGGCAATATGTGCTACATCAACCCAAATAAGAATGCAACAATCTGTGGCATCATGTATAGTTACAGAAGAGCATAAAAGAATTTCAGGACCTTGAATCACCTAAATATTTTGCAGGTATAATCTCCTATGTGTTGCTAAGGTTTAAAGCAGTAACTGAAAAATATACTTGTAAAACATATCAAAAATGAGATAGGCAACTCTACTGTTGTTCACAAAGCAACATTATTCATTGTTTGATACTCTGCAGATAGTCACTGGTATTTTGGAAATACTCCCGAACTCCGCAAGTCTCCTGAATTACAGCATCATTTATGGATTCAAGCATGTCTGCAGAACAAGACATTTTGGAAAGCATGCATCTCTTTGTCTTTGAGTCCTGCACTGATAAAAGATCTACAGTAGCTCACCATCCCAGGCTGACTGGAAGAGTCAGGAACTACCACTTCTACAGCAGAGTCGTAACATCCCATGCAGTATCTATAAAAGATCACATGAATATGCTCCAAAAACACCTACTTTGAATATCTAGGAGCTGATCGTTGTGATTCAGATATCTACTAAGTTCTACTCACATATTCCTTGAAAGAATCATATTATAGCCATGAGTTATTTCACTGTTGGATATGTCCAAATACATGACTACCAAGGGAAAGGAACCTGGAGGACTTTTGACTTAAATCTGGCAAAGTTAGAGCTTATGAGAAAGCCATATGTTGCTGACAGTTAGTGGGTGAGATTCTGTCAGTTAGTAGGTGAGATTTCGCAATTAGTGAATAGAGCTCTCATTTGTTTACTGAACAAACAGGGCCTGACAAAGCAAAAGCAGCAATCACAGAGCACTTCCCTCCAATGTCAGTCATATCTTCATAAATATGTTTGAATCCTTCTGCCTCCAAGAAAAGAAAAATAAATTGCTCCCAGAGCTACAACTAGTCAAGAATCATTTCAATGAGAAGGGCCAAGAAGATAAAGCAGTTGGAAAGGAGAAACATCCCCAGCAAGTATACCAGCTTAAACACCATTCTTGACTGACATGCCTTTTGACTGTACAAGATTCAGAAGAACTATTAGGACATCATTTATATGATGAATTTAGACCAAGTCTTGGGTTGTTTCTTTTCCACTTCTTAAGCTTGCCAAACAAATGCATTTATGTATTCTGCTCACACTCTTCCCTTTATAGCTCCTTCTCAGCCTACACAGGTTCTCCTTGTTCTCTTTACTCACTTGAGATATTCATTACTCATAATTGCAATTGACTCTCTAAACCAAAACCGTGGTTTGGTTTCTCAATCAACTATGATTAGTTGACTATGCCGTCATAAACAGGAAAAGCCTTACCAAAACTTTTCCATCAGAGATGTGCTTGTGTGGGTATTCACGATGGGTGGGGTCCTCACCTATTCTTCAACATCATATTTACACATTTAAATCAGAGCTACTGATCACAGTCAGCAATGGGACCACAGTCAGCAGTCACCCTTTTACAGTGCAGTTTATACGATCTATTTTATATATTCTGTTTAGGACAAGATAATCTGTGCAACAGAAAGACCTCTCTCTCCCTGACAGTAAAGGTACCTAAGATAAATTTAGGTGTAGACATAAACATTAATTTCAATTAATTCCACTCAGTTTGTGTGTTTCTTTAGGTATCACATTACTAATCTGAATACTGCTGGAGAGGCAAGTACAGATCTAGCCATGAAATATATATAATTTTACTATCTAGATTCAGTAGATGGAAGAAAAGGGTCAATAAAGCCACATGTTCTCCTCAGCACTGTCACTCCACAGAGGCTTTCTTCTGTGATCCAATTTGGTGAAATCACTTCAATCATTTCATGAGGATTTCACTCGAACTGGATCAAGATATTCTACCTGATGAGCCAAAATCTGGCTAGGAGTAGCTCCTTAGAAGGTGTCAAAACCATACCTATGCAAAAAAAGATAAATTTGTCCTACAAAATTTGGTTTTCAATCAAAAAAAGATGCATTTACTTGTATTGTTTAAACTGCTACTGTCAGAATTGTTATATTCTCTCCTGGTTTTTACTTGCTGAGATCCTTTGGTGATTCTTTGTGGGGAACAAAACAATTTCTGGCTTTTCAATTCCCCCCCACCAAACCCACCAAGAAAGAACAACAAAATCTATCATCTTAACTCAGGAGATGATACAGGGAAGTGAAACCCCTTAGAGAATATGAACCAAGTTTACTGGATACATAGACAATTCTAGGTAATTCTTCAGCTGTTTCACTGCAGCAAGCCAGTGTTATCTTCAGTATTTCAGTCTACTTCAGAAACTGTCACTGTACCTTCCAAATTGCAATATTGTATGTTCCCACTGCTTTTAACTGTTCCAAACTTATTTAAAAAGTGAGCAATATTAGGATTTTAAAATTTATTGTGTTTATCACAGATCTCTATACTTTCGGGGTTTTATCGGGAACGTGTAAGTTTTCTCAGTTTCAAGGTCACCAACACCTGCTGACCTGCTTTTCTGTATTCTGTTTTTCTCTTTGATAACCACAGGATACAGGCTACAAAAACCCACACAAATTAGAAATCTTCCCAAAGATCTGTGACACAGTTTTTCTGCTTACCACTCTCACTACAAGTACATATGAAATTTTTATTTTCAAGAAATGTTGCTAAATATGGACACATTCAGACTTACAGGTGATGTCCATTAATTCCTGAATTTATATCCTGAGTCTAGTATACCAACAAACACATGTGAACACATCAACACACACATATGCACACTTCAGGTTTGTCTGTAAAACTTCTCAATCTTCTTTAAGTAAAAAAAAAAGTGGTTAATACACTATAAAAACATTGTTACATCACTTTCACCTCTTGCTTCTTGCGTATTGTCAGTTGTAACATATCAGGGAAAAAAAATCCCTACGTTTAATTAGTTTTCAAAATCTGTCAATGCGTCTTCTTTTCTTGAAAATCTGCAGTATATGTAATTGTCACACTGTTCACTGAAACTGCCTAAACAGTTATAAGTACTCCCATATAGCTTACAAATATCTATCTCTAAATTAAATTGTTGAAAAAAAAGAAAAATAAAAATATAATTTGAATACCTGCTTTCAAAAGCAAAACTTTTAACTCCACTATAATTGTAATTCTTATTAAAGCTTAAATCACTTCAGTAGTTCACAATAGCCCACAATTTTTCCCTATAAATAGAGACCACTAAAAGTCCTCTGTCTCTGCAGAAAAGTTTCTGCAATAATCTTTTGTATTTGCTGAAATTTAACTCATTTAATATGCCTGCCATTAGTGAGAATCATCAAATAAACTAAGCCCAATACCCCATTACAATCCTATGAAAAAAATCCCCTTATGCCTACTGTTCCAGCAGTGAGACCTGCGAAGAGTTCCCATAGGAGGATTGCAAGATTCTGGCACGTGCCTTCATTCTGATGCTAACAGAAAAATCTTTAGCAACAGCAAATTTTTAGATTTGATAGTTTTTTGTGAGGTGAACATATAGACAACTGATCAAGGCCATAAATAAAGCCACAATTTAAACCCCAATTCGGCCTTGACATGTCAAGTACAGTTCCATGACAACAGACCAGCCTGTGTCAGGTATCATTGAATATTAATGCCTACAGACCAAAACTGAGCAGCACACTTCAGCTGTGCTGCTTCAGACGAATGTCTGCACTAAATAATACAACACTTTTACACAAAATTGCACAACAAAGTAGACAAACTACCATACTCATCATCCCTAAAGATAATTCTCTTAAGATTGATTTCGGCATCTATTAATAACATTTTTCTCAAGCTTCACCCTACAATTAACAATATTTAACATTTCATATACCACGACTTTGTACTTTTAAAAATAATATCACTAAGATGATAATAATTATGATACCTGGCAAAATAAAACATAAAATTTTCAGCTTCCAAGTTAACTTGGAAGTTAACAATTGAAGTCTAGCTTAGAACAGTAAATTATCAAACTTGAGTCTGGAAAAACGTGAATAGCATTTTTCAGTATCGGTAGTCCCATACCCTTTATGAACCAGGCAAGAATCTTAGAAATATTTCTTGAAGGACAGCACAAATCATTACATGCAAAGTAGTCTGCTTCAAATTAATCATTGCTTCAGTTGTAAATGCTGAATGACAGTTTTATTTTAAGTTAGTCATAAGAACTCCATGCAGCAAACCTTTTAGTTCCCTAGTCTTTCAAGATGTTCCAGTGAAGATTACCACCAAATAATGGAGGCCTCCCTATTTCTCTTTTTGACTCATGATGTTATACAGTGGTAAGAAATCAAATCCAGTTGTTTCATTTGTTCTTTGAATGGCTCCAAGCATGTAAAGGTTTGCACAGAAACCAGAGTTCAGCTATGCCACTCTTTGTTTATTGCTTTACTATACAGATAGATGACTTGGCAGGCCTCATAGTGAGAGATCCATCCAACACTGCAAACAAGAACAAGTCTGGGGAAGAAGACAAGCAAATGTTTCCTTTTACTTGGCAGTGGACAGAAGGGTCGCCTATCACTCATTTTGTTTAGGTAATTAATCACAAGCCAGAAGAAATGCTACCTGCCTTATCAAAAGGTTTACAGAACCTTTAAAAGGCTGCAATTGCTTCTAGATATTTGTAAGTATAATAGGTTCACCTTGATGGTTATAGTGAAATGAAATAGAAAATGACACAACAGTCAATGCAGTTCCCTGTACCTTTGTATGGATTATACAAAGGAAGACAGAGAAATTACCTTCATCACAGACATGTGCAAAGGCAAGATGTTCACCTACTGGGTTGTGTACCTACCTGTGAGTGACAGAGTAATTCCCAGAGTCACTGAGTTCAACTGGCCAAAACTCCAGAAAATTCATTTGTGAAACAATTCTCCGTGTTTCCTTTATCAGTTGCTGCTTTCCAGCATTTTCTCTGTACCAGTTTATTGTGTATGCTTCTTCCTGAAAATGCTCTTGCCTTGACTCAGGATAACAAAGGAAAAAAAATTCCCCTTCTAGCACGTCAATGGAGGCACGAAGGGGACACAGCCTCTCTTCAGAGAAAGGGGAAAAAAGATACATTAGGAAGCCAAGTACTTCTTTCAGAAAATTATGTTAGCCTGACTTTAAAGTGATTTGCTGTGCTGCTGGTCTTTTGTAAAGTGACTTGATTTCAGCAAAGTGGTTTGGTAGCATTTGTTTATTCCAGAAATACTTACTGAAAAACAGTTTTCCAAGCCTTTATTCTACCTTACACAAGCAAAACCAGAAAGAAGAGCGGGGTGAAATAAAAAAGGACATGTCCCTATCCCTATAATTCTTTCATGTCAGTTCCACAGTGTCAGAATCAAACTGGCACAAAGGGCAGAATCTGGCCTCACTCTACAATAAAGCAGCTGCCACAAATAGAAGGAGAAAGGAGAAATTCTTCACATATGGTTTGACTTGACAAATATAGCTGAGATAAAAGCACAGATCCTATGAATTAACATTTGCATTTTCTTATCTTCTTAATTAAAACTATGTAGACTATTTACATTATGTAGATTTCTGAAAAAACTTCAGATATCTTTGGGAAAGTTTTCTTCAAATGAGATTATATATGTAAAAATTTAGTCTTGAAGTCTGCCTTTCCAAACAAATTTCCCAAATTTACTTTTTCATACAGAAGTCATAAAAATACAGAAAAGGAACCATGGTCTAGAGTTAACAGTAAAAAAATTCTATTTCTCAGAGATTATTGTTGTTTAGCAACTATTGTGACTGCACTTCTGAATGGCACAAAAAGAAACAAGACTCATTTTCTTGCTTGCTGTGGCTCTTCATACAGTTATGGTCATATACAACATCATCAAGTGTCTCCAGGTAGCATCCTTGATCTTTTTATTTCATAATTTCCTAATCCTGGAGTTGGGCTGAAATTGCCAAATCTTTAAGTTTTTGCTCTTAGCTACAAAATACAAAACTCGCCCTATTCCAAGCAACTGTCAGGAAGATGGCACATATTTTGAAGGTTCTATTACTGAATTAAAGACTTTTACTTACCAGAAGCAGATCCTATGATAAACATTAAAAAAAAAATCACCAGAGTCATTTTCTTGAGTTCTCACTTCTTCTCCAGAAAAATGAAACTGAATTGTTCTTGCTTGTTCAGAAAGCCTAAGAAAAACACATTCACCATTCATCACAAGTGCAGTGAAACAGATTCCTTTGAGCATGTGAGCAGTGTAACTATTGCTTGGTGCTGAAGAGGGCTTTCCAAATGGGAAGTTACATATTTTTACCATAACGTCTATTTTCATACATCAGGTAATGTATCTAGATTTTTCTTAGCAAGTTTATTTTAAATTCATAAAGCATTGCAGGGTTTCCTTCTTCCATTTTCTTGTTCAACAGATGCATTTTACCATCTTACAGAAGCACTCGAATTCCAAACCAGTAGATACCTACCACAGGATAGGACAGCGCTTTTTTAGCTCCACAAAGATTATTAACTTTGCAAGACTGGACCTTGTAGAAACAGCTAGTAGAAACTTCACTTGCCTTCAGTGAGAACAGCACAATGTTTTAGATGGGGTATGCTGATGGCTAATTTTGAGCCTGTTGGAAAACAACGAGACATATAATTTTTTCTTAGAATTTTGTCTGTGGAAGGAATAAGCACCAGCTGACAGCACTAACATTTCCACTGAGTGGGAGGACATGAAGCAACTCGTATTCAACTGCTTCATGTGTAGCCACCTGTGATTTCAAAGGCAAATGGAAAATACTAATAAATAAGACCAGCATGGAGCATCTTCTCTGAGGTTCCTCAGAACATCAGGTTAACTGACAACCAAAGACAGTCCTAAAACTGTGCTTCAGCTTTGCTTATAAAACAGAAAGATTAGATGCATGATCAGCTCAGTTCAACTCCTGAAGTCAAGACAGATAATCATGCTTAGTCTCACCCAAACATGCCTGAACAAATGAGACACATAGACACAGCCGAGATGTATTTCAAAGATCTGCCAAAAGAAATCTCATTAGCAATCCATTTCTTTGGTTTTAATAACGAAACCTGTAGCAATTTAAGAAAGCACACACTTGTAAGACACTGCCCTGCGATTTACAGTCAGAAACTTCCTGCGAACTAAAGAGTCTGGAGGCAGGAGGCTACTGCATTTCCAGCAGTATTCCAGAATGACACTGACCTGTGTAGCTGCTCTCCCTCTGAGTCTTTCGCCTCAGTTTTTCACAACTGTGCCATCATCCCATAAAGCACTGTAAGGAGATGAAAGAAGTGTTTCACATCTCTTTTTTCAGACAGACTGGTAGGCAGAAACAGATTTAGAAAGCTAGAAGTTGGATTCTGAGTACTATAACAAGCAACTTTAAAGAGTCATACCATAAACTTGCCAGGCCTGGTTTCAGTTCCCTACCACACAGATTATCAAGCTCCTACACTTCGCAAGGAAAGAAGGGACCCTCTCTTTATTTTTATTTCTTGAATTTACCTTCCTTTTCCACCCTATCACATCCAGAAGAAACACAGCTGTTAGAGATCATAAAACTATAATCCACTACATAAAGATAAAATATTTTTGTTTTTAAATCCAATTCTTTTTTGGTATATCACATCAGCTCACAGAGGAAGTTTTGCTGAATGCACACAGTACAATGCAAGCTACTTAGTAATAACCAGGTTTGATATTCCTGACTACTCTTAAAAGCAAAACACAGAACATTAATCTTACTCTCCTATTGCTCTTGAACCTGTTCAATCTGCCTGAAATTGTTCTACTGTAGACTAAAAGTATTTACATTTGAGCCATACAGTTTGCAGTACTCTTCAATAAAAAGCTCGGGGGGGAGGGGAAAGAGAGGAAAAAAAGATAAATGTTTTTGGTGAAAGTCAGCTAATATAAAGAGAATCTGTGAGGAATGGAATAAGATTTTTTAATTTTCAGAAAAAATGGAGAGTTATTCTAAAGTAAGACAAAGATTCTATGCCTAATAAAGGAGTAAAGAAAATACTCAAAATGCTAAGGTAATAATAGGGAATTACAGTTTCAATGTAAATTTATTCAATCACCAATTATCTATAAGGCTCAAAGTGACAATAGCTTTAAGCTTGTTTTTCGAATTTTATACATGTTTAAAAACATTGATGGAGTTTTAATAATAAAAATGGTTCTTAAAAATATTTTTGCATTTGTGAAGCCAACAAAACCTTTAAAAAAAATGAAAGTTTAAGTTCTGTAACGTACATTAATGATATCTCATTAACTAGACAATTCTGTGCCTTTAAGCACCATTACAATTATTCCTCATTTTTACAGAATCACCAGAAGATTTTGGAATGAAAGGGTGATGATACATTGAAGTGGTTGATCCTCAGTTTTGGTCAAGTAACTCATTTTGGTTAACACTTTTGGAAAACTCAGTTTGGTCCCAAAGAGTTGTGACTTCATTTGTCTAAAAAAACAACAGATTCTTCTGAACAGCAGACTGTTTGAACAATCATTTTGGGGTCCAGGGAGAAAAGCACTAATATGCCCTCTGTCAGAATGGCTCCTTGTGGAATCTAAGTATTTTTTAAAATATCACCAGATAGTGCCATAATTTGCATAGCATTCATGAAGAAAACAAAAGTATTTAACAAGCAGTTGTCTTAACCACACCAGGTCCAGGCACCATTCTGCCAGGATTGCAACTTCTTGGTAAAAATGAAAATCCACCTTAATTTCAAAGAACATAAGTGAAGTTGTTTACTTACAATGCAAGTCTTGCCAGGTGGAAAGTCGCTGCAGAGGTAGTTCTCCAAACTCCACAGAGTTGCAGCTTGTACTTATAACTCTTCTGAACCTCATTCATCACTGAAACAGACTGCAGTCCCTCTCAGCGAGTCAATATACAGACAGCTCAATCTGAAAAGCCTCCTGAAAAAGAAGAGTGGACTTTCTCACTTCATGAACACTTGACTGCAGGAAGGAAAACGGAAAAGGCAGATGCAAGAAACTCATTTTTACTAGCATTAATGGAATAGTAATAGCAAGTCCCTAATATTAATATTTATTCTAAATGAGGCATTTGAGTGCTGGTACACAAATGTTTTAGGCACAATCTTTTGCTCCCACCGCCTACTCCACCACTGACGGAGCCCATCCTCCTCCAAAGCCACCCAGGTGCAAAGGAAAGGGTTGCAGACAGCTCAGAGATGGCGACTTGGCAGTGCCAGTGATGGGCCGTGTGTTGAAATAAGCCACTTTCAGGGCTAAATTATTTACGACAGCTCAGTAATAACGAAAAAGTATATCATGGCCCCGAAGAGAGGTGTCCCAGCCGAGTGGCTTGGGGGTGCGCGGCTCAGTGTCGCAGACAAGGAAAGGGCTATAGGGTCGGGTACAGGAAGGGCGGGGGACAGGCAAGGGCCCCGGAGAAGTCCTCGAACAGCGGGTGCCGGCCCCCGCACTCCCGCAGAGATGCCTTTCGGGGCAGGCTGTCGGCTTCTCCGAGAGAGGGGACAAAGAGCCGCCCACGCCCAACCCTCGCCTTGCCAGCCCGCCTGCCCTCCCCCGTTCTCCCCTGCCCCTCCGCGGCCGCCCCGCTGCCCGGGCCCTTCCTGCCGGACGAGGTGCCCGGCGGGCGCCGCCGGTTCCTGCGCGGGGTGCGGGGGCCGCGGCCGGGAAGGCGCCGCGGGGCCGCTTCCCCTTTTCACTGGCAGGCAGCGGGGCCCGGCGCAGGGGCCGGGGCCGGGGCCAGGCAGCAGCGCGAAGCAGTGCCAGGGTTACCGAGGGCGCTGGGCTGTCACCCGGCCTGGGCGAAACCCAGCGGTGCGCCCCGCGAGCAGAGGGAGAGATGATCAGCTTTTTTAGGGGACACTGGGGGGAGGGAGGGGGCCTTCGCTCTCACAACCTCCCATGTGAAGTAAAGGCGTAAGGTGGTGATGCCTTCTGTTACCTTCAGCAGAAACGCCTCTTCCTCCGCTTTTATGCTGAACGCCTCTTGTAGGACTCTTTTCCAAGAAACGTGGTGGAGATAGGATGGAAGCTTAGGCACGAGTATATTAGGCTAAGTATACCACCTTTTATCTCTGCTACAGCTTCCTCCCCACCTCTCTGGCTGGTTTGAGAATGAGGACGTGGAAAGAGCTAAAACTGAAAGGCTGATATTCTGCAAGGACCACAAGAGAAACCCACAAAAAAAAAAAAAAAAAAAAAATTACAAAATAGGGTCTACAGGAAAAAAGACAAGACAAAATACATGATCCTACGATATTTTTATAAGAAATGTCCCCATGTTACTGCTATTTTTTTCTGCACTACCATCCCTTTCAGAGGAAGAGTAATGTAAAGTTTCAAGATAGGAAACATTTTATAGCTCCATTACTGCAAAGGGAGTGTATGTATTCACTTCTAAATAAGCCCTCATGCCAGTAATTGAGCTGGCTTTTTAGCCAAATGTTGATATATTGGAACAATAGTTCCATGAGGAGTTTCTGAGTTTCTGGTGTTCCTGAGTAAATGAATGCTTGCCACTGTTAATTACATGAATACTTTATCTGCTAAGTACTGTGCAATGATTCACTATACTTCTAAATAAAGTTACTTTGATAACAGCGGGAAAAAGTCATTCCCGCAGGAATTACCCAGGACAACTGTGAATGCAGAAGTTCCCAATTGCAACAGGAGATGTCACTTTAAAGGTAAAAGAAGCAGGTTAAACTAAAAAGAAGGAAGAGATTACACACAGCTGGCTTTCTTGCATATTTTCACTGCCGAGGTGAAGCAAAGAAACCCTGAGGAGTTTGACTTCTCACCTCATTTCTTTTCCTCATCATGGATTGAAATAATACATATATAACAACAATCAGACCTTTAGATAATGTAAATTAGCACAGCTCTAGAAAAGTCAGCTAAGAATCTAACTCACTATAACTACTTTAAAATTTTGTACAAGATACTTTATGGTATTTTTGGTTTTAGGACTTAGTACTTGATTTTAAAACCTAAAGCATACCATAAGAATTACATTACGGTCCCAAAGCTATTTAGCACCCAACAAATAAAATGATGAAGTAAAATGTCATCAGCTTTTTACTTTCACAAACTAAGTCTTGTTAGTGACTGTTTGGAAACTTTTTTTTTAACTCACTCTTTTGTAGCAGTATTTTCCATGAGCTGTTCTCACATTCTTTTGCTTTCATATCCCTTTGAAATACTCTCAAATTTCTGAACTTTCATCTGCACTAAAAAGTGCTGTGTTCAATTGGTCCTTTCAACTAATGTCATAGCTAGCTTTGTGGTATGTGAATGTATATGAAAGGAAAATAAACTTTACGCTTTTTAGTCCTGAGACTAATACAGTTTTAATGAAGTCATAGTCTCATATAAGAGAAGTAACTTGACTAAAAATAGCTACAACTCAAATTTTGAGTTTGGAAATGCCACAACAAAAATGAAAGTTTGCACTAATATTGGAAAACAGATTTTTGTATGAAACTCTGACCACCTGACCAACCAGCTAGGGAAGACGAGTTACTTCTCACAGTTTTTCACATCTTCCTTTTCATCCAACATACACTATGCTGAGGTACTAACTGAAAAACCTAAATTGTGAAACTATTTTCATCATATATTGCAACACATCCAACTCTTGCAAACACAGTCTAAACCTGTTTGCTTTTAGCTGGCAATAGTCCGTTTAAATCTACTTCTTTTATCGCTATATACCAGTTATATTAATTCTTGATAGAGGCTAAGTTATATTCGATAGTGTTTTTCATCATTATCTGTCCTTGATGTCAAAAAGCAGGTTACAGACTGATAATGTGTCTGTTAGAGCCTCATATATTTCTTAGAAATTTTAAAGTACACAAGTTGAACATTTTCAAACTTTCTTCTGCATCACAACATCACAGAATAATTCAGGTTGGAAGGGGCCTCTGGAGGTCCTTGGATCCAGCCTCTCATCAGAGCACTTACAACTGAGATCCAAACACTTAGAAGGACAGAGATTCCACAGCCTTTCTGGGCATATGTTCCGGCATTTGACCATGCATATGGTGTCATTTTTTTTCCTAATATGTAATATGAATTTCCCATGTTCTTATTAGAGCCAGTTACTTTTTTGTCCCATCTCTGTGCTCCTTTAAGAACAGTCTGGCTCTATACGTTCTCTCTGTTTTTATTGGATTCTTGAAGATAGAAATAGGGCCTCTTATCCTCTCCCTGTATGACCTGTGCTCTTTGTGGTCTTTCCCTGGACTCCACTCTGTCATTGCCTCACTTGTACTGGGTTTATTCCATCTCAGATGCAGCTCTTTGCACATGCCTTGGATTGAACCTTGTGAGTTTCCCATCAGGTCATTTCTTCAGCCTGTTGCTGTCCAAAACAGCAGTCCTCTGCTCCAATGCGTCAACTATCCCTCCCCAGTTTGATTTTCTGTCTGAAAATCTATTGCTTGTACAGTCTGTCCCATTGTCAAGGTCATCAATAACGCTGCTGAACAGTATTGGTGCTGATATCAGTCCCTGAGGGATGCCACTGGTAATGTGCTGTGAGCTGAGGTTTGTATGTTGGTCCCCCGTGGACTTTGGTCCCACTGTTTTTCCACTCACATTTGTAGACTTATCTGTATGTCATTAACAGAGATTGTACAAAGGACCTTGCTCAAAACAAGGTATGTAGCATCCTGTGTTCTCCCACTGTCCACAGCACAGCTGGATATGCATGATATGTTTCTAAAACAATAGCTGTAGTTTTTCAACCCTTGAAAGAGTCAGGAACATAAAGTTGTACATTCAATAGAATATACTATCAATTTTACATATCATCTTCTAAACGTACTTTGTCCAATGCTATAAGAAATTAATGTTGCATACACTACAAATAATAGCTTGCTACGAAAACTTCCAAAAACTTCTAAAAATTCCTTCAAGTGGTCAGTCTTTTGTGCTTCACAACCGTGTGAACTGGTTGTGAAGCTGTATAGGAACATCAAATCTCAACGCTATAGGGAACCCCAAGACCAAACCATTTAATATGTTTACGCAAAGGGCTGGTGTATATTAAATGCATATGTGGTGAGGGCAGTACATTCCACATGCTGTCTGAAGTTATCCTACTTCATAGCAGCGGGAGCTGGTTTTCATACTTTGGAAATCACCAGATACTTCACCACTGACATCAGTGTGAGATAAGTCACTGCTTATTCCTATCCCTTCTTTATTTCTTTATTGCCAGCAATTCAGTGTATACTTTTTCATATATGAAGTATCCACAGACAAGGTTTTACAACTGAGGACATACAACTCTGTATGACTGTGGTTATATGGCAAAGAGACACTTCTATTCCTTTAAAATATGTTATTGTAAGAGAGTCAGCATTGTATTCTTAATGCCAGATTCTGAGCTGCTGTTTACAAGTTATGCCACATGGGTTACAGGAGATAACAGCAGTATGCACACCCTGAAAAAATTCCCTGTGTTTAATTCTAAAGTTGATAGACTAATTTCTAGCTGGTCAGAATCTCTGAGTGTCTGTTCACCCACGAGATGGCAGGATGACTCTGTTCTACAAGAAGTTAGAGCAAATCTGCACTCTGGAGTCCCTTGAGGTGCCAAAACCAGGGAAGCATAGGTCAGAAATTAAAGGACATTAAATCTCTATGTGGACAGTATAGTTCAGCAACAAAATTCCCTCAGTTCTCTTTATTTTAAGCTTAAAACATCCAAACTGAATAATCTTTAAGCTTTGAATGTCTATTCCTATGTTATTATTTTTATGGTTATTTACTTTATGTTGAAAGCAGAGACTTTTTTTGCACAGGGCAGACTGTCATTCTGTTATTCCACAAGGGCAGACTGCTTAGTGTAAAATAGCCAATTTTAATTAAAAACATGTGTTTTTTTAAATTTAGATTCTTTGTAAGTTGCATTTCACAAAATCACAGAATAAGGATGGAAGGGGCCTCTGGAGGTTATCTAGCCAACCCCCCTCACTCAAGATTGCACTGTGTCCAGGCAGTTTTTGAGTGTCTCCAAGGCTGGAGACTCCACAACTTCCCTGGGCAAGCTTTGCCAGTGCTGGGTCGCCCTCACCACCCTCATCATAAAAAAAACTGTTTTGTGATGTTCAGCAGGAACCTCCTGTTTTCAAATTTGTGCCCATTGCCCCTGGTCCTGTCACTGGGCATCACTGAGAAGAGCCTGACTCCCTCTTCTTCATAGCCTCCCTTCAGATGAAAGACTTCTCCAGGCTGAAGAGTCCCAGCTCTCTCCACTTTTCTTCATAGGAGAAATGCTCCAATCCCTTCACCAACTTCATGGCCCTTTTTTGTACTCTCTCCAGTATGTCCATGTCTCTCTTCTACTGAGGAGCCAAGAACAGAATACAAGACTATAGATGTGGCTTTAGCACTGCTGAAATTGTAATGATGCTGTAAAAGTATTCCACAGTTCTTTTCATGCCTTCTCTCTGATGACACTACAGATGGGATAACATCT